CAGCGAGAGGGCAAAATGTTCCCTCCAAGCCTAACAGCGCCACTATACAGCTCTGTTCAGAAAAGAGTTTCGGAGGGCGAAGAGGACTATCGTCATTTTTGTAATTTCCTTTTTCCATCCGTACGTTTCTCTTTTTTTCTATTGAACGTACACTTTTTGAAATCAAATCCGAGATCAGTGCTACAAAACGTGCCTGATATGCGCGAACTTTGGACTAGTGAATTGTGAACTGAAAAGTATGAGGGCTAATGTCGGGGTTTCGTTTGTTGACGTCGAGTTCAAAATTGGCTTTTTTGATCATTTCGTAGAGAGTCGTAAACTTCCCTTTGTATGAAGGCTGCATGCTAAAGAAAGCCAACGAGAACTTCATGAAGAGGAGTGTGAGGACACCGGCGTATGGGTACATAGCCTGGGGATGAGAGAGGGATATGGAATGAATTCTGCGCAAGGGCAGCGTCATTGGTTGGGGATTTAGACAGAGGCCCGTAATGACGCGACCCACCGTTTTTGTTTGGTGGAGGGAAGATCGGTAGCAGAAAAGCCGCAAGCGATAACGACCCCCTCCCCCTTTTCACCAATTCTCAGAATTTTTCTGCACCTCCTAACACTTTCGAAAAATTTCCGAAAAATTTGCCCTAACCTTTTCTCAAAAATTTTGCCTGTCGAGCGGGGTGGTTATATAGTAAGCGCATGAAGACAAGAAAATCACACAGATCAAAAGTCAACACACGCTCTCTAACAGAACGCCAAAAAGTAAATACGACCTCCCCCCTCCCAACAATGACCAAGTACGACCCCCCCCTTTACAACGTCCGTGAAGCGAGAAAAATCAACTATCAAAATAAATTTTTCAGCCCAAATACGACCCCCTCCCCTCTCCTGGCGGGCACAAATACGACTCCCTCCCCCATGTGGAGATTTGCTTCGGGAGAAGCGGTGGGTCCATGTAACCATTTGACGCGTGTTTTTGAGCCCAACTAATAACACAGATGTTAATCTTCTTTCGATACCAAGCTGAGCTGATCAAATGAACATGGAAATGAAACTGCAAGTTTTTGCCAAGGGCACTGAATTGCCCTCATCCCTCATAGCACAGTTGTGTTCGCACTGCGAAACTAGGTGCTATCAAGGGCGCGAGTGTGGGCGCGGTTTCCTGCCCGTTTTCTATCATTTGTTAGGCCGTTTTGCCTTCCCCTTTAACAATTGGTGGAGTAGGATTGAAGGCACGGTCCGCGATCAGGTATCGAAGTTGAAAATATGGCGTCAGGAGGTTAGTGTGGATCCGCGACGAGCAACCTTGTACCGGTTTCGCGGCTAAAAACTCTATGGGAGGGGCGCTGTAGCGCAATATAGGTTCCAGTGGCTCCTCCTTTTTTTCCAGTGACTCCGCCTCCAGACTCCGCCCGGTTTCCAGTGAAAAATGAGATTGCAGGACGAAAAAGCATGATAATCGCCACTTGTACGATCGTAGAAATCTTATCGGTGAATCAGCCGTGCATATGAGTGCGTACAACTGGGATCGAAATGGGGTTCTAGGGCGGGCTGTTTTTCACTTTTTTGTTCACAGTCGAGTTACTCAACCCCCTGTCGTATATATGGAACCCCCCAATCCACCATCTGAGATGGCGAGTAATCGTGGGTTCTTCCTTTAATGAAGCCACTTTAAGCCAGTCCTCTGACACGTCCAACCATCCGCAGCGAACAAGGCGATAACTCGGTGAGTTGACATATGTTTCCAACAGAATAGGCGAAAAGAACAACAGTCGCATCAATTCTGAAGAAAAAGCTGGAGAAAAACTTCTCCCGTGGGAGCCAGATGTGAGCGCAAGAGCGGAGCTCAGCTGAACGGTTGGGAGAATACCACACAAAATGAGAAATCCAGGGCCTTGTTTTCCTGTGACATGAGAGCTCGTGCGCTTTCCGAAATCATGCTTAGCCACTTCTTCTTGTTCCTTTTCTGCTTCTGTAGGAGCGACAAATTTGGAATATATGGACATGACAAGGATGTGGGTAGAGGACTCAAATATGAAAACGGCTGTGGTGCAAAATGTTCTGGGAGGGGAGGAACTACTAGAAAAAAACCTGTTTAAATAGTGCTGACTGTGAGAGCCTTCTTTTGCAGCCGATTTTGGGCAAAAGCGACGTACAAAGCGAATGACTGAGCTGCGTAGTATGTGAGACGCAGACGACGAAGTGAGGGCATGCTCGAATTGGGAGACCACGACTTCCCAGGGCCGCGACTTTCGGTGGGCCACTTCGAAGGCTGCGAAGGGAGCGGCACAAGGGTAGCAGCATCCTTGGTGTGAAAGCACATGGGGGGGGGGTCGTAACTTTTGCTCTGAGGTGCGAGGGGGGTCCGTATTTGTAGGCCCGTCCCTCCCCCGCTCGACGACTTTTTCGCCGACTATATACTCATCGCTCGTCAGTCGGCGAAAGAGCCGGTCGAGCTGAGGGGGGGGGGGGTCGTGGCGTGGACCCCATTCGGAGGGGGGATCGTAAACACATTGACACCGAAATTTCGCTCTATGCCCCAATGGCTGTAACCCTGGAGCATGGACAGGGATAACCTGCCGACCCTAACACATTCCGCTCACACCTTTCCAGTCATGAAAGTGAGCAGCGTGTTTGCGGTGGTTACACTGTCTTCAAAGCTTGTCAAGCCTAAGCAGTAGGGAATACACTGTTCGATGGCGTGCCCACCCGGAACAACAACGTTTAAAAGTCTTTATTACCCACAAATTTTGTTTAAAAACAACAAAACCACATCAGATCATGCTTGTAGTACGATTGAATAAGCCATCCTCATAGAAAAAGAGACAATTTTTGTGCATGTATTTTAATTTCACTAAATACATATGTAGACGGGTCGCAATGCTAGCCATACTTCGGCGGCTTGCCAAGTATGAGGCGGGGCTCCCTGGGCAATAGTCACTAAATGTAGAAGGTTGCGGCCCCTGCTTTCCATTCCAGTCCCAGTGAATCTGGGTTCATCTTTGCGTTACGATTAGAATCGACCCAAACTTTAAGAGTCCTAAGTGGGAGAGCAAGGCAGAAGTCAGCCCGCTGGGCCACCAATCTACGCCCTCTCCGCGAGACAGCGTTGTGTGAGGTTGAACGGCTTAGGAAGCAGACGAACAGAGATGGGCGTGCTCTAGCTCACAACCCATGGCCCTCCGCACTACAACTATAATATTACCAATTTCAATAAACAGTATAAGACGAAAGGAAAACGAAGGAAATTCGATACAAGATCAAGGCGTCTATAAAAAACGTGAGCTGAAAAGTACATGTTCACGAATGGAAAGAAAGTACAAGAGTTTTTGGAAGCAAATATTATGTAGAACCCTTATATTAAAAAGCCTTCACATCTCGGACCGTCTAAAGGCATGCAGTGCGATATTGATTTTGCGCGCGTAAATCGATATTTCGAATGTATCCGCCAGTAGGGCGGTCAGAAGTGTGAACGCAAGTTTACGAGCAACCAAGCATCAAACTGTATGTCGTAGGTATTGACTGCTTGAGGAATTCGCTTTCTTGAAATGCAACGTAAGTGTGAACCCATGCAGTGCTCCCGCGCTGGGAATAATGGAAATAATAGTAATGCACATCTCCAAAGTTCGAATAGTCCTTAATTCGTAATCGGGTTCCCAGGAGCAGCGAACAAAGAAGGCCAACTTTCGCTTGAATTCGCCCCCCCCCCTTTGGTGCTTAAGATGAACTTGGCATTGATTTTGATTTTACGTGCGTATAATCGATCAGTTCTACATAGCTGCGTTGTTGGGTGCCATGGAAAACCTAGAAAACTGTCTTGAGAGCACATTCACTATCCCAATCTGGCGTTTTGCCAAAGTACAGTAATCAATTATCATTCCGAAAATTCGAGACAGGTATTTACAATGGACCAAACGACCAGTTTGATGCTGACACCCTTCAGAAACCGGCTATAGTGAACTCTCAGGACCGCTCACAAAGAAGTTCAGTTCCGGAAAAGCAAACTGACAAAAACTGCTTCGAGCAAATTGAGCACGAGCATGACATTCGTTCCCTTATCTGGTCCAAGTTTCGTGGCACGGGCAGTTCTGGGGGCTCAAAGACGCGGTTTCCAATCTCGGCTTTCACCGCGGCAACGTGACGGCGTCAGTGATCAGGGCACATCTTCGAGTTCTGTTAGGTGGCGGAGCGTCCCTTCATGATCCTCTTTCAGAAGCTGTCGTATTAGCCTCCCACCCAGAAATTGCTACCAGAGAGAGTGGAGGGGTAGAGAATGTTCCAAAACAGGAAAGATCAGCAATCAAAGAACTGCTTCCAGCGAGAGATGCCACTCTTCGTCTCCAGCGACGGAATACGGATCCTGCCCCGCATTTCTACCATTTCGCCAAGAGGATTCACCATCGATGATGCACACCGGTGATAATTCATTTTCGTTATAACCCCTATTCTGGGTGCCGTTCATGCGACGCTACCTAACGCCTTTCGGCTCAGTTCAGAGCGAAGGAGAACCTTCACAGAAAAACTAGCGCAGTTAGAAAAAAAAACTGGCCTCGAAAATCGAAACAAGTGTCAAATTCGTGCTAAACTTTTACGATGCCTCTGATCGAGACGAACAATTGCTTTTGGACCTGAACTCCTTCGGAGAAGCCCCCAGACCACACTAGCGTCAAAATTGCATAATTCAGAATCTATGGTCAATTTATCCAAGTGCAAGGTTCACGCTAGTCATATGGGTGGAGTCAGACCCACTGCTCCTTTCTCAGTGGCGTGCCCCTGCTGTCTAAGAGGAGGAGCCCGCCAATAAGAAATGCGCAGTGGTAGGTCAAAGTCCGCCCATATAAGCAGCGTAAGCTATGCCTTGGCTGATCAGCGCTCACGCTGAGCGAACTGCATGCAAATGGGTATGGCATCAGCCGTCTCACTGCGACTGGATAGATCACACCCATCAGCAGTGCGTGTTCAACGTGCAAAAGGTCTTTAGGTTCAAATTTCAATAATAAACAAATATTCTAGTAATATGCATCTTCATAGTCCATACGTTGTTGATTATTATATGGATCACAGTCATAGTATTCAGATGGCAGAGAGTTAGATTTGCAGAGAAGTTGTTGCTGCTGTTGCTGTTGAGGGTGGACAGTTGCCTGTTCTGCCGGTGGGACCGTCGACATGCCGTTGTTTGGACCAAGGCGGCTTGTGATAGAATTGGAACCCTTAATAAATCAATTTTAACACGGACATAGTCTTCTTGGGCACGCACTGTGTATTGACATCCATCGGCAAATCGGTAAAAAAAGCAGCCGATTGGCCTGTACCATACGTTATGTGGACGATCATGAAGGGCATTCTACAGCGTGTTTGCCACGACCATTTCCTGCTCCCCTACACTTCTTCGACAAGGTAGAATTAGGTTATGGTTGACGCGGTACTAGAGCGTAGAGTTTACAGTCTCATGGTTCGCTGCTTGATGATGAATTTGCGCGCGGCGCAAAGCCTCGCTTTTCTTTTTTCCTTTCGGGCCAGCGGACAAATGTGTCATATGGTTCGTATCGCATTCATTCTCTCACCAGCGCTTAGCTTTTACCCCGCTTCAACAAACTATGTAGAGAACGGGCTCGGGACACATCACATTGGTTGGGATTTCAGTTCGGCTCTATTACGACCCCCTTTTTTGGGAGTGGAGTTGTACGACCCCCCCCCAGCCCTCTGTCCTTCCTCATCGAATCGAGCCGTCGAGCGGGGAGGGGGGGGTAAATAGCACATGTGAAACAGGAAAAGCCGCGAGACAATACGACCCCCCTCTACAATCAGATTTTCCCCAACTTCCTGCCCCTTTTTTCCAAAATTTCCCGAAAACTTCCTACTTTTTACCAAAAATTTTGGGGGGGCTTTTTTTTATTGTCAGAGTGGGGGGGGGGGGCGTATAGCTATTGAAACAGCAGGAAAATCACCAAAAGTCAACCGCCACTCCCACAACGCCAAAACGTAAATACGACCCCCCTCCCAAAAATGATCAAATACGACCCCCCCCCCCTTTACAACGTCCATGAAGCGAGAAAAATCAACTATCAAAATTTTTCTCAGCCCAAATACGACCCCCCCTCCTGGCGACCAATACGGGACCCCTTTCCCCCTATTGCGGGATTCCCCAACAACGTTCGTGCCCATGAACGGAACGCTGACGGCGCGCGCCAAACTCAGCTACACGGACACGCCCCTCTCTGCAGGGGGCAAGAGTGGCCTCTCGCTTGCTGATCCACGCTTCTGATCAGGTCAAAGATTGTATTTTTAAAACAACCAGTAATACCGTGCATTTACTGTGAGTAGGTTAATACCCCAGCTTTTTGCAGTTTTTTTTTACACTTGTCGTTTATTTTGTCTTCCTATATATATTTGCGGCCGATTTTGCTTGGGAATAAAAGCCGTCGAAAAAATGTAAAATGTTACATGGATGCGCCTCGGGAAATCGGAGGTGGATTTAGCGGACTTAGGTGGAATTTGGTCCAGGATTTGAACTCTGCGGCTAAGCGGCTTAACCTGCTACTGCGCCCCAGCTCTACGTCGATTTCCCAATCCAAAGGCGCATGTAACACAGGGCGCAAGTTACAGCAACCCAGGGAATCTGAGGGATAAACAATGAGCTCGAGCTCTGTTGTTTCATTAGAGGTCGTTGCAAAAGAAATGCAGGATTTTGTTTTTTTGTATTTATTACTTATTTTATTCCAATAAAATGTAAGTGTTATATATTATTCGAAAGCTTATCTAATGCTCTTTCTAAATGATACTTCAAGATTGGTTGTAATTCTTTTTAGAGGCCACAAAATCGTTGAAGGCGTTTTTGACATCGTCTTGGTTTTTGAAGCCTTTCTCTCTAAGATAGTTGTCCAGATGCTTGAAAAAGTGGTGATCGGTGGGCGACAGGTCTGGTGAGTATGGTGGATGAGGCAGAGTTTCATAGCCCAATCCGTTTTATTTCCTGCGGAGGGTCGTATTGTGCAAAAGTCGTGGCGTCGGGCATTGTCGTGGAGAAGAGTGGAGTCCCTTCATATTGACCAACCTTGGGCACATGCGTTAAGGCTTCTGATGCATTTCGTCGATTTGTTGACAGTACTTCTCTGCCGTAATTGTTTCACCAGGATTCAGGAAGCTGTGATGGATGAGACCGGCGGCAGACCACCAAACATGAAGTTCATCTTCAAGGCTGGTGTTGCCACAGCGAAACTTCTGGAACCAACGTTGGACCGTAGATTCGTTGATACTTCCTTGACCCCAAACTTCGTTGATGTTCCGAGCTGTATCGGCAGCGTTTCGTCCTAGCTTGAACTCATAGAAGAAAATAGTGCGAAATTCACGTTTCGACATCTGCAATAAAATGTCAATAAAAATTATAATAAAATGAATTACAACCAATCTTGGAGTATCATTTAGAAAGAGCATGAGATGAGCTTCCGAATAGTATATAACACTTCATATTAAAGTAACATATTATTGGAATAAAATAAGTATGAAATACAAGCAAGCAAAATCCTGCATTTCTTTTGCAACGACCTAATAGCCTCTACCGTCATCGGGGGAAAGTTCAAATCAATTTGAAAACGACTAACAAATTGGAAGTTGAGTTCGCCACTGTTATCACATTCGTATGTTACAGTGAAGGTATGACGGCTGCTTTCAATGTAAAACGATGCTTGCGATTCGGCTGATGGACTGTTGGGCACCGATTCGTTGCTTTGTCGTACACGCTCCACTCCCATGGGAGCATCCGCTGCTTGTGTCATCGACATTGCTTGCCGCATATCTGGAGCACATCATTCGACTTCAGTAAATCTGAGATCATTTAATCATTTAGACAGAGCAAAATGCGATAAAAAGCAAAAGGATGAAAATTTCGTCGCCGATGAGTCTCTTTTTGGCACGCGCCATGTATTCTATAGTGGCCTATTGAATGCGATATGGCCTATACAAAACAGGGTACAGCATCGTTGTGTGAAACACTATGGGGCCGTGGGGGGGGAGTCGCACTGCCGCAGAAGGGGAGTCGTACCTGACCACCGGGGAGGACGGGGGGCACGGGTGGTCGTATGTGTTGAGAGCAATCTGCCGGGTTGGGACAAATTTTTTTCCCGGTTGGTTGACTGTTTCCTTTTTCCCGTGTACACATCTTGCCTATATATCCCCTCAAAAGGAGGAAAAATTTTCGGTAAATTTTTGGACGAGAACTGCGGAGCATGTGGGGAAAAAGGGAAGGAGGGGCGGGGGTGGGGTTGGGGGATGGGGGAGGTCGCTACCCAGATTCCTCTTTTATGAGGGTGGGGGGGGGTTGTTTCTGATAACCACCATTTCACAGATCACGATGCTGTACCCTGTATGCAAAGGTATGTGTGGGCTAAGATGCACACGTCAGTGTTCCTATATTCCTGGTACCAAAAATACTGTCCGCAGAATGGCTACGAAGTGGCGTTTTAGCGGGTGACGACCGTTGATTAGTCCTGGAACCCTTGCGCTTTACTTAGGGAACGGTCCTGCATGTCTTTACCTTACCCTAAAGCGAGCTACCGATACTTGTCTGTTATATATAAGTAAGTGCCTTTCCTTTCTGTGGGAGTCAATTGCGCAAGATAGCGACGATCCAGATACATTACAGCAGATCTCTAGCAACTAGTAGGATCCCTACCATCAGCGGCACGCATCGTTCTGCATGATCACAACGAGCGGGTCGTATTTGACCGCGGGGGAGGGGACGGTCCGTATTATGCACAGGTGAACAGAAATTTTTTTGATAGCGTTGATTCTCATTGTTTCACGGACGCCTGTAGGGGGGCTTGGAGCGGAGAGGGTGGGAGAGGGACTACCAAAGATCTATAGAACTACTATATCCGACAGTTGAAAATGAGGGTTCAAATCCTGGCGACCTCACCCCTTCCCGCTCGACGGAAAATCCTTGGCTGAAAAACTGGAAATTCCTCTCGGGAAGAAATGGAAAAAGCGGTAGGAAGTTGGGAAATCTAAGAAACTGGTAGGTAGCAGTGGGGAAGTGGGCGTAGTTTGAGGACTGGAATTAGGGAGAGGGGATATTTTCCATAAATATGATCCACAACGCCATGCGTTGCCTGCCTTACACATTGCAAATTGGTCCGTAAGTCAAATTCCCAGAATTTTTCATTTCTTAGGTACACGACTATATGAAGAGAGCGCTGCGGCCATCATAAGTCGCAGTCACATGGTATATCGTACGGTCTAGCACAGGAATACTTGGGCAGATAGAATCCAACAATTGGTTGAGCGCGGGGACGAACTGCCTTTGATAGCGCACTCCAGACTGATGGTGTGAGGGAGCCACACCTTGTATCTTCCTCATGTGCGCTCCACTTCTTTTTTTTTAGAGACGAAGAGTGCACCAAGGAAGAGAGCACGATGGCAGGTGTGACTCCGCCCATACGGCCGGCGTGAACTGCGTCATTGAGGAGCAGTATGAGATGCGTGAGTGTCAGAATGAACATTCAGTCCCAAGCTTCAAATCATCAGAAGTTATCATTATCATACCATAGAAGGTGACATTGGCGTTAATAACTTACCACAATACATATCGGGAGTAAGCGTGACGTTATAATCTGGGTCACATTCGGGCATGTGTTCTAAATTCGGCATCGATGACGCTCCATTTATGGATACTTCAAAGTTCGACATCGTTGACGGCAGTGAATTGCTAGAGAGGCTGAAACAAATAGATACACACAATTATTCGCTCCTCAAATATGACAGCTTGCAAAACATGAGTGTGGCCGCGAGCGGTTGCGGTGCAGTTTCACAGGAAAATTATGGGGTGAGCCACTTGGAATATTCACAAGCGTGCAATTACACTTGTGCAACATTTGATGGTACATAGCTTTTAGAGGCATATTTGGTCCACACAGTGGCTTGCACAGGCCAAACGACGTGGAAATCAACTCTTATACTCCACAATAAACCAGATCCATATGGTGCACAACTCAAGGCCATGCGGGCTGTCCCGGCACAGTACATCCATCTCTACCTCTTTTTCGTCAGGTTCCTCGCCCCATCGCAGCTTCGCTCCACACTGCCTTCATATAAACTCGAAATCCCTGGAATGAGGTAGGCGTGGCTGCGTACTTCAACTAAACGTGGCTATGCTTTTGGAGAGATATTTTCATTTTGACCCAAATGTGGTCACGTCTCTGTCCAACAAAGAACAAGATGGCGGTTGTCTCAAATTGAAATATCCCACGAGTAACCAGTTCTGTGCCATGTTCGAATGCCACGCCTACCCTGTCTCAGGGATAAGGAGTATACCTATGCGACCAACACTATAACTACAATTTTCTTTTCGCGCATTCTCCCGAAACTGATCACCCTGTAGCGTGATTCTCTCAAGTTGCAGAGTACGAACCCCGCTTCAAAGGCAATTCGCACGATGTGTTTCATACATTCACCCTAAAATGCTAGTAGACGCGCTGGTGATGGTGGGGAAATAGCGAAAAAGAACGGAGGAGTGAAAACGGTTCAGAATCCCTGCGCAAGAAAAAGCCTTCGTTCTCCGTGACTTGAAAAATGGACTTCGGGACGAGTTTCCCCGTATGCTCTGGTCCAATCACCGCTACCGAAGATACGGCTGCATATGTGTACCCATGTATGCATGCGGCATTACGGCCGCTTCATACCAATTCCTTCGCTTCAATTCTTTGGAGCAAATAATGAATACGAGCGTCAGGAACGGTCGTCCATTTGTGGGCGGGAGGGCGTGACGGGCGTTTGGGACGTAAAGTTGTGGCTTCATAGGGCCCTATAACGGGCCCCTTCTCGGGGAAACCTATGCCACGAGCCCGCCAGAGGTCCGCGAATCCTATACTGTCAGGGAGGATTGATCCTAGTCGTCTTGGGGGATTTATCGTGCCAATTGCTTTAACTGGGTGACAGCTCCATCTGCAAGCAACAATTCCAAGTATCACTTACTTGTATGGCAATCCGGGACCGCTGTTGCTATATGTGTAGTCAGGATAGCTGGAAAGTGATTCAATCGAAGTGGACGATGCCGAATGGAGCATGTTCGAATCGGACGGATGTTGAGGTTGTTGTGAAATACCGTTGGTATCCTGAACTACTAAGGCCTTGCCTCTAACCATAACTCCATACATTTCACCCCAACAAACAACACGTAATACAACTGGAATGAAAAAATCTAATGTAGCAGAAAAATAATCACCATATTACTCGAAGGCGTGACGTCAGCGATACATTCTTGGATGACGTCATGCATGAGGCGATCGGGCATATGGCCAAAAGAGTCGACAATTTCCAAATTGTCACAGTACTACTGCACCGCAACATCTGTAATCGGACTCTGTGAAGAGTCATTCGAAGGCGCGACAATAAGCAAAGGATTTTTTTCCATTCATCTGATTCAAAAGCGGTGAGCAGGGCTGGAGCGGGCAGATTGTCAGCATGCACTGGCGGGGAGTGGGCGTTGAGGAGCAGGGCCTTCGGCCACACCCCGCTGCCTTTCCACCGTAACATTGGTGACGACAACCCGCCTTCAGCCACAGTGCCCCTTGCCTTCCAGCAATTTGCGAGCGATTGACGGCAACGAGCAATAGGCAGAAATGACCCCAGGCGGGCAGGAGGCAGAGAAGCACGAGGCGAGACTCGCTGTGTCACTACGGACTCGCAATGGTTGCGTGGTGTTCCATAATCTGTAAAGTCGTGGATAGCCCAACGTAATGAACTCTTTTGAAGTAACCTCTGCAGCTACGATTTCTGCTATCTCGTACACAGACGTGACTGACTCTGGAAATCGTGGATCGTACCTAACTACCCCTTCAGTCCTAAATAGTTTTTGAGAAGTCCCGGAATTCTCACTTTTACGTGGACTCAGCAAGCTAATATGATTCCCGTGTCCTTCGCGACAAGTTCCCTTGCCATGGGAGAAATTCAACAAAAATACGACCCTCCTTTAACGAAATCTTTCCTATTTGATACAAAGAAACGGATAACACCTGACGCATTGACACTGGTAAAGAGCAGAGATTTCGAAAGTGATGAGCAACTTCTTTAGGTGATCTCGCGAACACATGATACATGTTCCTGAGTCTTCCTCAAGTATCAGCTAATGGCTTCGGACGCTTCCGACGAGAGTCCTTGGATATCTAAGTCGCAGTATATGATCTGTTAACAAGGACCATTCACATACAACATATTTATCAGATAATCACTGAATCAAACAGTTCCCTATCCCTGTTCCTAAGGTGATGCAGATGTCGTGCTTGCTATCCAAGCTTTTTTTCACCAGTGCCTCATCGGAAAGTTTTATTTGAAGGAGTTTGGTTTGGATCAGATGACGATCATGGGGATATCCCGTATCCTTCTGTTTCGCTATACTTGAAGGCGGAGTGGAAACAGTCACTCAGTGCACCTGCTCCATTGATCTTACTTTCCAGTACGCACAGAGAAGGAGCGCAATTAGAAAGGCACACTGGTTGATTCCACTGTATCCATATGATAAGCGTAGACCGGGCTTCAGAAGACCAATTGCTTATGATCAGTTGGGCTCGAAAAATCACAGCGAAAGCTCGAAATTGTTCTGGGGGACCCCGCCAGTCCCCGGGCCGATTGTCGTGGGATGCGCCTTTATGGGGGTCTATTGTCGGTTACAGGTAAGTTCTTGTACCAGTCTTGGGAGAAGAACGCTCGAAAGGGTCGTCTGAAGCATCGGATCATTGACCTCTGAGGCAACGCAGTTTATGGAAGAACTACGTTACTGGAAGAATAACTTCAAAGTTGAAATACAACCATGAAATATTTTTGAAGCAGCTTTTTTTGAACTCACATGGATTTGCAATGATGATCGCTTTCATCAGTGCAGCTTCCTCCTCTTTGATGTTCATCCGCCGAAAGGGGCTGATCAGTTCGTCGATGGAGCGCTCAGCCAAACGATTGGCGAAATGACTGCAATACTAAACATGACTTTATGCGATGTACTGTGCGCTAAGGATCTATAACCCATTCAGTATTGGAGGCAAGGGTAACTGAGGGCCAAAAGTAGCTGAGGGGGCCACGAGGCGGCCCGGCTCAACCAATTTCGCCCCTCAAATAAAAGAGGCATCCTTACAAATATTCAAGTTTCAAGAAAACCGAGGAATGAAATTCGCTGCGCAAAGCAAAGAGTATGTTTTCACAATATTCTGATAAATTTTTCATTGAGTGTTTAGTTACCTACTATGGTTCAGTCCACCGTAGACAGCAATCCCGTTTAACATGGCCGAAATTTGCAAA